CCTCCTCCTCACTCTTTCTCTTGTTCACCTCTCCTCTTTTCTGCGCAGTTGCTTCCTCATAAACACAGCAGACCGGATCATCAGGGTGTACGATGGCCGGGAGATACTGACCTGTGGCCGAGACGGTGAGCCTGAGCCCATGCAGAAACTGCAGGACCTGGTAAACAGGTATGTTGACTTGAGCATTGCAGAGCTTTCTTTCAGTTTGACCGTAGACTGTAGGTGTAGTCATCATGACGTCATCCATTGGTTTGTGGACTGATGTTTTGAAGCCTTGAGTTCGGTGATTTCGCCATCACCATCTTGGATTCCATGTTGTTGTTTTTGCAACTAATGAACAGAAGTGACCATATTTGGAATGCCGTATACGTTTTTGGTAGCGGCAGCGACATGTCAATCACAGTAAGCCCCGCCCTAAAGCATACCCTGCTTTATGGTCTGTTTGACTCTAAATGGACCATAATTTACTGAATGAACATCATGCTGTATTGAAGAAGACTTGAAACTAGAGATTGAGACCATAAACTCATGTTTACAATGTTTACTGAGGTAATAAATCAAGAGAGAAGTAGAGTCATTTTATCATAGACTTCTATACAACCAGAGGAGTCGCCCCCTGATGGACACTAGAGAGAATGCAACTTTAAGACGCTTCCACATTGGCTTCACTCTGTAGAACCGGAGGTTGCCGCCTGAGTTTGTCAGCTGTTTGCGTGAAAAATGGTCCGAGAAAAAGATGTCAAGCTGTTGTGTTACATTCCGTAGTGCTGTGTCCAACTTTTCCTCTGATCTCCTTTCGTTCATGTCCTGTTTCCTGTGTTTTCCGTGTTCAGGACTCCGTGGAAGCGCTGCTGTTTCTCTGGTGACGGCGAGTACATCGTGGCCGGTTCAGCCAGGCAGCACGCCCTCTACATCTGGGAGAAGAGCATCGGCAACCTGGTGAAGATCCTCCACGGAACCAGAGGAGAGCTGCTGCTGGATGTGGCTGTAAGGATGTAACATATTTAGAATAAACTGCGTCGAGATTTAAACAATGACGCAACACTTCACGTCTATGTATTTTCAGTTATTTGAGAAACTGTGTTGTTTACAATCAGATCATTTACCCAAATCTGACCTTTGACCTCCCTCCAGTGGCATCCTGTCCGTCCGATTATCGCCTCCATCTCCAGTGGAGTGGTGTCCATCTGGGCTCAGAACCAAGTGGTACGTAGACAATAAAGGCTGGATGTACATGAATGAACTTTGTCACAGATGGATGATGCTGTCTCTGACACTCAGAATATAAGATGTAAAATCTGTGTGACGGTGTGATCGACGTGCGACTGGTTGGTTTTGTCTGCAGGAAAACTGGAGCGCTTTCGCTCCGGACTTCAAAGAGCTGGACGAGAACGTGGAGTACGAGGAGCGAGAGTCCGAGTTCGACATCGAGGACGAAGACAAGAGTGAACCCGAGCAGACAGGTAGATAACGCACGCAGGGTTTTATTCTGTCCCACAATGCAATGCATAGAGGACTTTGAAGAGTTACTCACAGCGTCAAACATTAAATAAACCCGTGGATGGAGGTGAAACATCTCTGCAAAACAAATACAAATAAAATCTTTGGGAAAACATTTAGCTTTCACCTGGTTAGGGTTAAGATACATTATTTTTGTTGCAATCCAAATTCTCACTTTCGTTGATTCGTTTCCTGTTAAATCCAAAACAATCTGCATTTACCCCATGAGAATGCGACATCCCTGGTTTCATGTCAGACGTACTGGTCTTACTGGTGTAACTGGTTCTCGTGTTACAGGTGCCGACGCTGCAGAGGATGAGGAGGTGGACGTCACCACCGTTGACCCCATAGTTGCTTTTTGCAGCAGGTGAGAAACGATCCAGATTACTACACTAGATCTGATCGGATCCACGTCACCCTGATCTAAACCCTGAACCATCAAAACCTTTTAGTCTCAAGTGTCGTAACTGAAACTTGGTGCTGATCGTGTTCTTGTCTGTGTTTTGTGTCGAGCAGCGATGAGGAGCTGGAGGACTATAAGGCGCTGCTGTACCTGCCCATCGCCCCCGAGGTGGAGGATCCAGAGGAAAACCCCTTCGGCCCCCCGCCGGACTCCACGGTCCAGACCGCTGCCCCGGAGGACGCGTTGACCGGCGGCGACAAGAAGCAGCGGCAGCCTTCGTCTGAAGGAGGCCCGGCCAAGAAGAAGGCTCGCACCACCACCATCGAACTGCAGGGGGTGCCCAGTGACGGTGAGAGAGCAACGCAACAACTAATACACACAGGAGTTGCAATAAGATGCTGCAGGAGGGATGTACTTTAGTAGGCCATTTACTGAAGTCAGCATCACACTGGTTCCCTCTACAAATAGCCAATGTTTTTCTTTGGATTTTGGATTATAGCAGAAATAAGCTTCTTAAACATATTCCCCCTATTAAACAGAAATATTCAACCGTAAACCTTCAGGTTTCTCTCTTTCACCAAACTAAGGCTGGCTTCTTTGCCTTGTTAACTCATCGTAAAACACACTTCATGCAAACTCGACAGAAACAAAATAAAACTCAACAAAACCACCGTAGTTTGTTCTTCCACTGTTCCAACATTCACCGACTGTGGTTTGGTCAAAATAAATCCTTAATTCACAGAGTCAGATGTGACAACATGCCGTCCCGTCACACAGTTTTTTGCCCGCTGAGAAGCGGCTCTCACTTAGCAATGTGTTGCCAATATAATTGCCCAACCATAGTGAAAATGTACATTATGATGAATTTACAGTGTGAGCCAATTTTAGTACAAGTACAGAATTTATCCCGAAACAAATCCTAATCAGATTCTTCGTTCCCTCCCCTCAGAGGTGCACCCTCTACTGGGAGTGAAGGGGGACGGCAAGTCCAAAAAGAAGACAGCCGGCCGGCCCAAAGGCTCCAAAGGTAAAGACAAAGACTTCGCCTTCAGGCCCAAGCCCTACAGGGGCGAACGGCCCTCCTTCCCCACGGAGGCCCTGGGCAGCTCTGGCCCAGGAGGAGGAGGAGGGATGAAGGGCAGGGCAGAGGGGGGCCTGGCCTCAGGTAAGAACGCCACCGGCCATGCTGCTGCTGCTGCTCGGTCTGTGAGCTGTGCTCCGTCTGACTGACACCTTACCAGCCTGTCTCCCTGTACTGCTGCACCCCCCCCCCCCCCAACCAACCAACCACACAGCTCACTGACGCAGACCTGCATCAACATGATGTAAAGCCACAGTCTGGAGGTCAGAACACACAATCAGCACCGAGTATCAGACCCGTGTTTCATTAAACGGCATCTTGTCCCGTTATTAGTCCGGAGCTCATTCTTCAAAAACACAACGATGAACATCTTTGACTGTTCTGTTTCACGAGAGGAACGTTCCTGTGTTGTGTAATGAGGACATGATGAGCTACACAATGTGGTTACAGGGATCGGTGGGATGGAGCTAAAATGTTATATTCTCATAGTTTAGATTGTGTTTTATTTTTAAACACTGGTTTTGATTTCATCATCATGTTAAAGGGAAAGTAATGATGAATACATTTGTTCTCAATCGTACAATCTACAAGATAAATGTTATGTTTTCCACTATTTCGTTTTATTTCTTCTTTTTCCTGGAAGTAGACGCCCTGCAGTCACTGAGACGTTTTGATTCATTTTGGAATACTTTGAATTCTCTCTGAAATCTACCTTGTGTGAACCCTTTAATGTGTGGGCTGTGTGTTTGTGTGCTGAAGGCTACCGCGTGTACTCAAACAAAGACACCAGCTCAGATACAGAGATAGAGAAGCACTGCACTGCCGGAGATGCATTCCATCCTTGGAAGTTACGTAATTACAGTGATAAAAACCGGGCAACCCTTCCAGCTGCAGATGTTTCTTCTAGTTCCTTTGTCATGCTCAAATTATAGCTCACAGTTCAGCTTTTGGGCTCAATGCTTTTCCCAAAGAGCGAGACTGAAACTCTGCAGGCGGCTTTACAAATGTCTTCATCAGACATGCAGGACGTGTCTACTCAAATATCAAACAAGACAAATACATGAGGTGTGATGAGGATCCTCAGACTGTGGCTTTATGACCTCTGCTGACCTCAGCCTCGCTCTGACTCATTCCTCATCATTTTAAAACTTTGGTGAAGTTGGACTGTAGTTGGCAGACGGGTGTTGACGTGGCTAACGGTGCGATGGTGAAGCTTGTTTCCCACCGCGGGCTAGCTGGCTCGTCTACATCCACTTCCTGCTTGGCCTTTGACCCTCCTGCTCCCACTCCCACCCACCTCGCTCCCTGGGCTTGTCGTGTGTGTGTGTGTGTGTGTGTGTGTGTGAGAGAGAGAAAGAGAGAGAGAGAGAGACAGAACTCATCCTACATGCAGATGTGCAGTATATATATATGTACAGCATATGTCAAGTATACAAGAGTAATGGGTTATTATGAAGAGGACTACATTATTAATAATAAGACTAACTCATATCAACACAACACTGGTCTGTCCGTATCAGATTAGACGTTTAGTTCTCTAACGTTACGTTACGAAGCCACTTGAGAAATCTGAAGACAAAACATGCAATGTAAATTGTTCTTAAAGGAATAGTTCCACATTTTGGAAAATCATCTTGTTTGCTTTCTTTGTGAAAGTGAGACGAGAAGATCGATATGAATCTGTTACACAAAATGAAAAGTTTGTGGTTTTGTTGGAGTCGTGCTGGAGGTCTTGACTCTGCTTCTGTGCAGCGTCAAAAAAAAAGGGGATTTTTCTCTTGGATTTTAGTTAAAAATAAGCTTGTGGCAAAACACGTTTATGATATTTACACGTTTTGTTCATCTTCACAAATGAACACCACTTTCATGTATTTTTTAAGGGTCAATGCAATTGGCAGAAGTAAAACAATACGGTCACATGACAGGACTAGTGTTCTTCACTTGTCAGCAACTGCCTTTTTTAAGACACTTAAAAGCTTCAGAATCCGTTAGTGGGGTATTTACTCAAGTATTTTATATTGTAGGACAAAACAGATACAGTAGCCAGATACAAGCCAGTCTCTGCACAGTGGTACCAAACCTGGCAACGTCACTTAGACGACAAGACTTCAGGAGGCTGTTGTTTGTCATTTATGCTAAGCTAGGCTAACCCCGTCCTGCTGTAACACAGACGTGATTGATTTCCATCTGAACGTCTCAGAAAAGAGAAGAAGTCTAGTTCCCAAAATGTTGAACTATTCCTTTAATATAATCTCTTCTCTCAATGAAACCAACACTTCCTGCACAGATCTTTCACATTAAAAGCAGGAAGTATCGAGTTTTATGAACAGTAGCTTTAACAGTGGAAGTGATTCGAATGAATTAGTGAATGAAATGTTAAAAAGATAAAGTGTTTAAAGCGGACTGGTGAGTACGACATTCCTCTGTGGATCAGACATTTGACTGACTATCTAGAGACAGAGGAGTACACATGATTCCACCCTTCTTCCAGTGCTTGTCACTTGGCTTTAACTAGCTACCGCTATCTGGCTGTTTATTTGAGATTTGAGATTTATTCAAATTTAGTTTTTCATTTGAGGATTCACAGTTAATCTTCAAGAGAATATTGTGTAAATAGTGTCTGTGTTCCTCTGCAGGGAGTCTGGTCTCTCAGTCGTACAAACAACATGACATCGGGGGGATGGACTGATCGCTGCTGTTTGTGAAGCTCAAACAAAGAGACACAGAGCCTGATGTCACAAGAACAGACTTTGATGTGCAGCCTGTTTCCTCAGAGCGCAGCGTCACAGGGAGATTCCTCAGCCCGGATCACTTCACTGGAGCCGACAAGAAGAGAGTGCGAGGCTTCAAGGTCCCCGGTAGAAATCACACGTCCTCTTTTTTCTGTAGGATCCATTATGTATAGTGTGTGTGTGTGTGTGTGTGTGTGTGTGCCGTCTTTCTTGTTGTTTTTCTACGTATTAAAACATTTTCATTTATAAATAACTGTGTGGTTTCTGAGGCAGGAAAAACATTCACGAAGCATCAGCATGAGAGCAGTGAGAGGTGAGACCTCTAAAAATACAACGACAAGAACTTTTGGAAACATGTTTCGATGTTAAAGTTAAAACAGTCTCATGACTCAAGTCTCCACCGCTGTGACTCGAAGCGTCAAAAATAAGCTCTTGAAGTTAAGATCCCAGTTTGTTCAAAGGTTCATTAAATGTATTTAAGTAATAACCAACTGCAATTATAATATACATTATTGATTCATTACCAGGTAAGACTGACGAGGTCTGTAGAATTACTGCGTTGGACAACTGAATAAATACAATCACACTATTAACAGTCAGATTGTGTTTGATGTCGGATAAAAGCTACGTGAGAAATCACTTTTACTTTTTCACACATAAAATCTGTGAGACGAATTATAAAATATATATTTGTAAATTAAATGAATCCATCACTCAGTCAAATGGAGTAAATTAAGAGTTTGCGTTCTGTTTTGACTAAATCATATTTTAAGTCAAAATCTTGACGGAAGACAAACAACCATAAATCTTGAGGTACATGCTTATTCACTTTTATGCTACTTTATACTTCTACTCTACTACATTACAGAGTAAAACTGCACTTTTTACTCCACTTTAATTACTTTACTTTTCAAATCAAGATTTTACACAAAACATATGAGTGTAAAATGTGGTCTGTTGTTACAGATTAAACTAGAAAAAGTACATGAAGTACTTACAAATAGCTCCACCTTTACCAACGACAACAGCTTACATATTAATATTAATAATAATACAACTACATCGTAGTATAACAGTGACAGCTGCAGTCATTCTGCATTATGTTTGTACTTTTGCAAATACTTCTGCACTTTTACATTTTGAATGCAGGACTTTCTTTATTTGTAGTGTAGTATTTTATACAGTTGTACTGCTACTTGTACTTGAGTAAATGAACTGAGTACTTCCTCCACTACTGTTTACTTTAGCAAAGTCTGTTTGTCTGCTTCCTACAAAGATTAATATCTCCAATACAGAGTCGTCTCACATCTGATATACGTAGATATCACATGTTTTAATCCTGTGTTATATTTATTTTAACGGGAACTGGAATTTTAATATTGTTGGGAAGTTAGATCTATAACAATGATATTATATCGGCTCATCATATGTTTTAAATAGTAACCAAAGCTGTCAAACAAATGTAGTTGAGTAAAAACTACAATATTTCCCTCTGAATTAAAGATGAAGTTAAGAATAAAGTACCTACAACTTTTACTAGTACTTCAGAAATAAATGTAGGACTACTTATTTAACCGGACTGCTATCAGATACTTATGCTATTTCCCCCAAAACTGTACTTTTCCTTTGCTGCTGAGGGATGTTCTCGTCTTTCTCATTTAAATGTAGGCATTAGTCATAAAGCACGTGACTTCCTGTACGTTTCCACTTCTGGATCCTAAAGTCATTCTAAATTAAGTTTTTGTCCCCGACCGATCTCCACTTGTCCAATCACAGCGGAGTAGGCGGGGCATCAGTGGATAGCTCGTCAAAGGGAGCGGTCCATCAACTTGTCAATCAAACGGCCAATCAAGCTGGACAGAGTTAACGAGAACACAAGCGGAAACGGCTAAAAAACAAAAGCTCAACTAAAGAGATAGTACAATGATTCAGTGGTGTCATTACAAGATGCATGAGGTGACTGAGGTTTTCTGATTCTTAAATTGGTGCTTATTTGTCTTTTAATAAAGAAGTGAACATAAGTCATAATATTACGTAAATATAAAAAAATATTACGATAAAGTAGTCAATATTTTTTATCTCAATGTTAGACTTTTTCTCATAAAATATTACTTCCCTTTACGTGATATTAGAATATACAGTATATCCTCGTAGTATAATTTTTTTCTCATAATATCACAATATCTCAAATATAATGAGTTTTACTGTAAGATTACAACTTTATTATTGTAACATAACCTTTTCTTATGACTTGTTCTCACAAAATTACAACTTTGTGCTTGTTATCTGACTTTTGCCTCATAAGTCTTGACTTTCTTATTAAACTATGACTTAGTGTCATAATATTGTGACTTTGTGCTGGTAAAACATTGAGTTTATTTGCATATCATGTACTTTTTTTACTTTACATTTTTAAACTTTAACTATATAATCTTGTAAAATTACTTAAAATTAATACTGTTTTTGTTATGCTACGTTTTTCTCATAAAGTTACGATTTTTCTTTAAAAACTATTCTCAAAATATTATTATTTTTAGCGGTTAAATTAAGACTCATAACATTACGATCTGTTTGTCCAACCTTTTTGACCTTTATTTTGAAGGCCTAATCGGAAGTATGTTTGTCGGGAACGTCAGCCTGGGCAGCAGCAGCAGCAGAAGAAGAAGTCAGTTGGTACTGAAGTACTTCTGAATTATTGCTAGCAGCCAGTAGCACCAGTCACCGTACTTGTATGTTTCTGTGACGTCTCGTGTTACTTTTTCTGGCCGTTAACGGGAACTCACAGTCTTTGTCGTCGTTGGTGTGATGGAACTGGACAAAATGGACGAGAACGACTGGAAGTATCACGGAGAGGGAAACAAGAGCCTGGTGGTCTCACACGTACAGGTGAAGTAAAGCTAAGCTAACGTGAAGCTAATCCAAGTTTGAGCTAAAGCAGAAGAAGAAGAAGAAAAAAAGAAGCGTTAAGAGGACACGCACCGCCCGCGTGACACGTTAAATATACTTCTGCTGGGTGTTACTGTCGTGATTATCTGAGATATGTGTTCATAACTGACTGGTGTTAAATGACAACTGTCAGGACTTTATGTAGCTATCATCGGTAGCATTATTAGCATGTGGTTGCTAGCTTAGCCGGCTTGCTAGCAAACAACTAGCTGTGATCCTAACTGGCTGCTGGAGGAGCTAATGTTAGCCGTTAGCATCCTCCTATGGTTTCCCACACTGTCACTTTACTGCCCAACGGGACCTGCAGGTCTGGTCAAGTTGTTATTGAGCAACCGGTGACGTGTTGTGAGGGTATGACGTCACAGCACTGAGATGATCAGCTCGCGTGCTGTCAAAGCTTTTGATTGTTTACATTGTCTTACTGGGAAATAATCCATTGTGGCTCTTAGACTGACTTAAAATGTAGTGATCGTACTCTGAAATGATCTAACATTTAGTCCCGATACTCTTAATATTAATAATAATAATAATTTGTATATATATTTGTATAATAATAATTGTTTGTATAGCGCTTTAAAAGGTACTCAAAGACACTTTACATGGTAGAAACAAACAATCGAAGTAATGACAATAAGAACAAAATAGATGACATCATAACAGTAAGGAACAACACCAAAAATAAAAACATACATAACTGACATAACGGGTTAAAAGCAGATTTAAATAGATGAGTTTTAAGTTTGCAGGTATGTCATATATTGATATTGGATACATATTCTTATCGGTATTACCATATGTTTGACTGCATTCTTTTCATTGTTGATGTTATCACGACTTTTTACAGAGGAATAACCTTGAAGAGTAAATCAACCTTAAACCGCATTAAAGCAGTTTGTGTCACATTGCAATCTAAGTTTCAGTGTGCTTATTCTCAGATATTGTCTTTGCTTTTTACAAATTCATCATTTTGTGAAAGATGTCGCTTGAAACATTGAAGTTTGCACCCGAAAAGTTGATTTGATATGTATATTTGTTCCATTTGTAACATTGAATGCCTCAGTATGAGTAAAACTCTCAATGGAGACGAGGAGATATAAATATAAATAGATATGATGTGTGGTGGACAATATGGATAACATCGCCTGGTAAATCAATGGTGAAACTGTTACGGTTAAAATAACCAAACGGAACCATCTGTGTTCGGCTAGTCCAGCATATTAAACACATGACATTTAAAATATTCATCCATTTGTAACCACAATGGTCAAATAAAACAAGAGATGACAACATAAGCTAACTAACGATTGCTGGCATGAATCACCGTTGTTGCCCAATCCTAACTACACCTCTGACTCATCAGGTGTGATTATGTAAGAGAGGAATGTGACAGGCTGTGAATGATGAAGAGATCACAGACGCACCTTTCACACAACCAGTGACCATCTGTGGAAGTGTACATAACTCCATTTGTAAAGGATGTTCTTTACTATTATTATAGTCATGAGTGTTATTCCGGTTTCCACCATTGAACATTTGACTGTAAAATTTAGACACATTTGAGATAAAAGGAAAAACTCTCACTACAGCATCCGTCCCACAACAAAGTGTGTCAACAATACACTTAGAATAATTAAGACGTTAAGGAATTTGATGAGCGACCTAGTGTGTAAATGTCACTTTCACTGTAACCAGGTCACTGCAGTGCTCATTACATCGTCTGGTTTCCTGCAGAAACTGATTCCTCTGAGCTATGTGGTAGATACTCACTACTTAAGTTATAATCCCAGGTATATGGATGTTCTTTACTCAAACACACCCTAATGCCTATGGAAGTAGTCACTGTCATGTATTGTTACAGTTAATCGTACATTGTGTTGTGTTTGAAAAGCACTTCAGACAATCAGACACTTATTCCAACCACAGACTGTGAGAAGCAGACGTAGTCACCGTTTGTGGACAGCGGGTTTGAATCCTTGAGTTCGTCATTTTAACCAGAAGTGACTCAAGAGGGTGGAGCTAAGTACATCCAAACGCTCAATCAGACATTTTTAGGAGACCAAAAGGTTACTATTAACTTTAATTAAGTGAAAACACACTGCGAACGTTCTGAGGCAAAAACACAGACCACAGCGTAGTAGAGACCTGTCAATCACTGTGTAGCCCCGCCCTAAAGCATCCCCTGCTTTATGGTCTATTTTACCCTAAATGGACCATAATGTACTAAATGAACATCATGCTGTATTGAAGAAGACTTGAAACTAGAGATTGAGACCATAAACTCATGTTTACAATGTTTACTGAGGTAATAAATCAAGAGAGAAGTAGAGTCATTTTCTCATAGACTTCTATACAACCAGAGGAGTAGCCCCCTGATGGACATTAGAGAGAATGCAAGTTGAAGGCACTTCTGCATTGGCTTCACTTTTCACAACCAGAAGTTGACGCATGATCCTAATTTGCAGTGAATTTACTGTATCAGTATATGAACCCGCCTCATGAATCTCTTGGAGATGATCCTGCTGAGTAGTTCAGGTTAGTCCTGTGTTTAAATGAGGCTCCACTGGTCCTAACTGAGCTCCGCTTCTGTTCTCGCAGCTTTCCAGAGTTCTACGCCTGCTCAAGTATCCGGCCGAGGACTCAGAAAACCCACCGCAGGTAAATATGAGTCTGTGTGTGTCTCTCAGGTGTTTTGTGAAGCTAAAGCCTGGACCAAGTTACTGCACAGTAAAAGGTGAGAGAGAAAGCTGTGTGAATCTTTTAGTCAACGTGTGCTTGTTATTCTTTCTGACAGACTTTACAGAGTTAAATCTTTTATAATCCCAAAGTTTTACAGCAGATTGTCATTCATGTTCAGTTTGAGGGGGTCGATGCTGTGAAAAGGTCCATTATAAACATTAATGAGCTTGTTTTACCTATTATTTGGAGAGGTATATTAGATGTGACTGACCCACATACACTTACCTCCAGCTCTCACTTCAAAACAGACAATCCGTCATCTTCCACCCGTCTGCAGCTCCATTCTTTTTTTTTTTTTTCTTCTACAAAGTAAATCAAATCTTGAATAAAACCTGATTGGAACGATCAGTCAGGGCTAGGTGTGAGCTCTCATTTCACAACTGGCTGATTCATTGAAATGTGTCGTGTTGGTAAACACAAAATATAAGATGAATAAAATCATAGATTCCCAGCAGCACCTGATTGTCCTCTACTGTCTGACGAGATGAGCTCATACCTGTTAGTGTGGCTACAATAGAAACTTAGTTCAGTATAAAGACTCAGAGCTCCATTTAGTCACAGCTTTGTTTATCGTCAGTGGAGCGGCAGTAGATCTTACATCCTGCTCAGTGCTCAGATTAAACGTTTGAAAGGCACAGTCCCTGATACAAATGTAAACTAAAGTGGAGCCCTGCCCAACCCCAACATTCTCTCAGCTGCTCCATCAGCTGCCATCACTTTGAAGCTGATTGATTTTGAACACAGGAGCAGAAAGTAGAGCTAGAGTTGTTGTTAACACTCTGATGCAGTTAACGGTCCGAATCATGTCTCTGAAGGAGAGTCGAGGCTGGTTATCCACAATCGCATGTCGACGTTTGGTTTGGTGAAGACGGATAATAACAAGAAAGATGCTCTCAGTAAAGTGACGAACACTCTCCGGTTTAAATTAGCCGTGGACGGACACAGAGATGCACTCGTTCACGCACAGACGCAAGCGATCTCATGATTCTCACAAAATGTAGAGTTGGTGAGACACTTGAATGAATCCAGTTGTTTGAAGGAGATGTTTTCACAACATAAATAGATATTAGATGAATTATGAGCTGTTTACTCTAAGCAGACTATAACGCATCATTAAAATACTGATGACATGATTTGTTTTAATCCATTAAAATACAATCTTTTATTTCTAAATCATTTGAATTTTTTATGTTTTTTTTATGAGAAATAAAAACACTATATGTGACTATAACAAAGACTTTTGATGGTTTACACAGACTTCATATTTAAAAAAGGTTAAAAGGATTTTTTGGGGTTATCTTGGAGACCAGCCGTCATAATCAAACAACAATATCATCAGCGATGATCGACGATTAGTATCGGCGGCAAAAAACCCAGTAGTCGGGGATCTCTAAAAGTTATATCTGCTCCCTGTTTTTCTTTTGTGCTGATCCGATCTGTGACTCTGATCCGTGATACGAACCGTGAGTTTTATGATCCGTTGAACCACGAATAGATAATGTTGACAAAGTACTTATCCGAGTTATTCGCCTTCCAGAGGACAAATAACGCAAATAAGTACTCTGTCAACATGTTTCAAGTCTGTCAAGTTTTAGAACAGGTCATAACTTGCTCTGTGTGTGTGTGTGTGTGTGTGTGTGTGTGTGTGTGTGTCCGTCCTGCAGACAGTGGAGCAGGCCTTCAGGCAGATCCAGAACATTGTTGATTTTAGCTCCAACGTGATGAGCAGCTTGCTGGGAGACAAGTTCATCCACAGCGGGGTAAGACACCGTTCACACTGTCTTTTGTCATCCACTATGTGTTGTTTTTACATCTTGTCTTTTATCACTTTTGTCTTTATCTAAGTTTTAACTCAAAAGCATTAAGAGTATGCCGCACCGAATTATCATCGCGGTTATGCTAGTAGCGGCTAATGTAGCCTTGACCAGAGCGGAGGAGCGGCCCACAGAGGTCTGGTAACCTCACCTCCTCCTAACACGTTTCTAACTTTTAGTATTAAACCTCAAACCAACGCCGCCTCAAGTGACGTGAGGCAATTTATTACATTTAACTGCCTCTCTCAGGAGCCACACGTGTCCCAATACAACGTTTCTCACACATGCCGTCTCTACGACCTGTAAACAAGTAAAATAGTAAAATCATAAAATCGTTGGGGTTCTTGAAGCCGAAACAAACAAGTGATAAACTAAAATAAACGTCAACAACAAATACAATTCAATAACAGCATGTCAAAGCAAGATGGGTAAATTGACTCGGGCTGCTACTAATGACTCATTTTCTATCGATTAATCTATTCACTATTTTACTGATAAATCAATTAATCCAAACGATTAATTTTCCTCCAGTATTTTGAATATGCTGCCCTTCTTATTTTACATTACACTCACCCCTGTTTGTAATAAATCTATATTGACTAGAATACCAAAACAAATCCATAAACATAAATTGCAACACACATCAGCAGTTTCATCAGTGACTGAGCAGAAGTGCGTGTTTTAACTTTTTAAGAGAACCCATATTGGAACACTCCCATCAGAGCGGGACGATACACCAGACAGTTTTCTAGCAGCTGCAATCCACTAAAACAATGAGTTCCAGTGTAGTTTGAGTCTGGAGGGTTTAGCACACGAGCACTACTCCCCGGGTCAGATGGTGCCTAATTTTAGATTCAAGCACGATGAGAAGTTCACCATGAAAGCGGGCTCTGTACAGCCTCACCCCCATAAACCATCCAGCTGATCACAGAGACCCTGCAGCAGAGACTGAACTATGTTCTGTACACGCACTTGATTTAAAGTGACCGTCTTCATTTTCTCTACAGGAAGTGGTCAAACTGCCGCTAGAGTTTGTGCGACAGCTGTCAATCAAAGTTCAACATCAAAGACCAGGTAAAACAGTTTTTAGTCATTTCTGTGGGAAACATCTGAGACACGTGTTGGGAACGCATACTCGCTTTCTTGCAGACAGTTAGATGAGTACTGTGTGTGTGTGTGTACGTGTGTGTGTCAGCCTGGCGCTGTGACAAGGTGATGGACATCTACAGCGGCTGTGCTCTCTGTCTGCCCAACCTGACATCTCCAGTCCTCCACCAGCCAACACACACTCCTCCACTCTGCATTGAGATCAAGGTACACACACAGATTCTTTTAAGGCATGATATTGTTTCACCCATTTTGAAATTGTATTGTGACACTGTGACATTATTTCTTCAACTGAAAATACAATTATTCCTAATAACCAAACACAAAAATAACAAAGTTACGTTGAGTAATTTTTGATCCTATTGTCATGAGTTTTTGAGCCTGTTTGTAATTTTAGTTTCATCTTAGTAATGAAACTGTGGTTTAAGAAGACGTTCAGAAATCTTTGCCTGTGAATCACTCTCACTCAGACAAACTAAGTTAAAACAACAAATCACATGAGTTTGACTCAGTGTGTGCGTGTGTGTTACTCAGCTGCTCTTTTTCTGTATGTTTTTGTTTTTAGCCTAAATGTGGATTCCTGCCGTCCTCCAAACATGTCAGCAAAGACATCAAGACCAAAGTGTGCCGCTTCTGCATGCACCAGCACTACAAGGTAACACCTACAACTACACAAACTAGTGTACGACGACACAAACTAGTGTACG